CAAACTGAGAACAAGCCCACCTGGAGGCAATTCTTTCCTCCTTAATGAAAAGCAACACACTAGAAGCCCAAACACCATCAATGTAAAATTGAATATATAAATGGATTAGAGGAAAAATATGGAAAAAAATGTCTTTGGCATAAGTGATTGCTGTATTTAGCAGCAGGAAAGGAATTATTTCCTGACCAAAACCTGACTTCACATTCTTCAAATGCTAGTTGCTTCAGGCTCAAAACGTTGTGTCATTGTTCTTAGATTCAAGTGTCTGAAAAAAGTTAGTTATAAATTTGGGCAGTTGCCATTTGTATTTAGGTTTGTTTGGTTTACATGTCTGACATTTTCAAGTCAGAAGGTGTAAACAGTTGCCAAATTGCAAGGGTAGAATTGTTGACACATAGAAGACAGATAGTATTGAAGGTCCTCACCTTATGTCTAGGGAAGGTTGGTACAGTTTGATGTAGATGACTTCTTTCACGCTGTCCAAAATGTGCACTTCCCTCTTCTCCGAAAAATTCTTCCTTTAGAAAAATGTTTGCTCCCCTGGCTGCAAGTACTGGCTGCAAATCCAAAGAAAAAGTATTTCAATTTTGTTTGAATTTTAATAAGTAAAGTCAGAGAGAGAAATACATCTAGAATCCTGTCATTCAAAATCAGACTGTTCAAACAGAATGTGTTGGAGCTCTTGCTCTGCCTGTGTATTACCTGCCCCAGATGGTCAGTCAGTCAGTGGAGATGTCCTACAGGTCAACTCCAAATTTTATTTTACTTCATAGAATGCAATATTTAGCCTTTTTTTCTCCTCAGCAACTATACCAACTTAAGTATCTGTTATATTCTCTGACCTGTTTCTTTTCTTGGCAACAGGAAACGTTTATTATATACATTTTTAGAACATGGAGAATCACAGCTTTTGTGCAGACAAAAGTATTACAAATTGATACGTTTTTTAAAGGAATGTATCCTCTTGACACCTACAGTGATCTTAGTGGACAGGTATAGGGAATGTACACTCACCAACCACTTCATTAGGTACACCTTGCTAGTACTGGGTTGGACCCCCTTTTTCTTTCAGAACTGCCTTAATTCTTTGTGGCATAGATTCAACAAGGTAGAGGAAACAATCCTCAGAGATTTTGGTCCATATTGACATGAGTTACTGTTGCCTTTCCATCAGTCTGCCCATTCTCCTCTGATCTCTGACATCAGCAAGGCATTATCATACACACAACTGCCTCTCACTGGAAATTTTTTATGTTTTGGACCATTCTCTGTAAACCCTAGAGATGGTTGTGTGTGAAAATCCCAGTAGATCAGCAATTTTTGAAATATTCAGACCAGCCCGTCTGGCACCAACAGCCATGCCCTGTTCAAAGTCACGTACAGTAAATCTCCTTTCTTCCCCATTCTAATTTTCAGTTTGAACTTCAGCAAGTCATCTTCACCATGCCAACATACCTAAATGCATTGAGTTGCTGCCATGTGAGTGGCTGATTAGCAGTTTGTGTTACCAAGCAATTTAACAGGTGTACCTAACAAAGTGGCCGGTGAGTGTATATATTTTATTAATTTTCAATTTAATAAAAAGAGCAAGAGAATGTAACAGCATTTAGTGAAATTTACCTGAAATTTTGTGTTCACCAGGCTCCCTTCTCAGCGCATTAATTTTGAATGGGCTGCCAAAGCACAAAAAACAGACAATATTTTTCTACACACTGCACCTCAATGCAAAGATAGTTTCCATCTGTGAATTGTGTAATTTTGCAATATACACACATTGGTGTGGTCTTTTGTAACATGCTTGCAATTGAAAGGTGCCTTGTAGTGCATTTTTAAAAAAAAAAGTAACTGCAATACACTGCCAATCCTTAGTTACCATGCAATCCTTAGTTACCATAACGCAACACACTGATAACAGGGAAACCCATATAAAAAAAAAGTATGCACACAGCCATTGCTGAGCTCTTCTGAAAATCCTAATTCCCTGGTTGTCATGCTGATCCAGTGGCATCAGCATTTTCTAAGTCACTGAAAACAGCTTGTTCACTTAAGCTTTGACAAATAAAAATAGAAGCTGATTGGTTTCTATACAGAGCTGCACCAGTTTTAGTAAATCAACCCCATTATGTCTAAACATAGCTATGATGATAAAGAGGCCTTAGGAACCCCAAACTGAGTTAGGAAGATAGGTTGCAATAAATGCAGTGCCACCTCTTTTTTTTTTTTTTTTCCAAAAGGGCTACCTGTTTGTTTATTCTTGGGGAGAGCAAAAGCACTTTTACATAGCTGAATCTCCACTTCCCCAGCAGACAGCACTCCCTTCTGCTTTGGCAGTGGACTGTCCTTGATCCAGCTCTTCCAGGCAGGGGGCATGCGCACATGCCACCCTGGCTGTGCTGTGATTAGTCACAGCACAAGCTGATCAGCGGGTCCCGGCTAATGATTGATGGCCAAGACTCGTTGATCAGCTAAGAAGAAGACAGGACAGAGCTCTGTGATTGTAAACAACACAGAGCTCAATCCTGTCAGCAGGGAGGTGCTGGTTTTTGTTTCCCTGCAAAGCAAGAAATAAAAATCGGTACATCCCTTAGCAAAAGCAGCACACAGTGAATGAGCCAAGCACTGTTAGGCACACGTTTAACCCTTTGATTGCCTCTGGATGTTAACCTCTTCCCAGTCAATTAATGAAAATTTTACAAAAAAATATTTTTTTTAGCTTTTGTTATAAAATTTTGCAAATAAATAATCTTTCTTCATAAAATTAGGCCAATATGTATTCTGCTATTTTTTTTTTAGTAAAAATAACCCAAAACCGTGTATATTATTTAGTCTGCATGAAAGTTATAGAGTCTACAAACTATGATATACATGTATTTTGGCCTCTCAGGTTTCTTTTACCAGCTTTGGATTCGCCGGTACTGGTACATCACTGGACAAGAAGCGGTAAGGGTGTTCTAGGAGCATAAATTTTGCATCTAATATCCTGACTATCTATAACATTTCTGTAGGCCTTGAAGAACCAAGACAGTGGAAGCAATTGGGGACACTGGTTCTGTTGACACTGGTGCTGATATAGCAGTGATCAAGACACAGTATGACAATGATCAGGGCACTGGTAAGGGGTATGGCAGTGATCAGTACTCTGTTATAAGGTTTGCATTGATCAGGATGCTAGTATGGGGTATGGCATGATCAGGACACTGGTATGGGATATGACAGTGATTAAGATGCTGGTTTGGTGTATGGCAGTGATCAGGATGCTTTTATGAGATATGGCGGTGATTAGTATGCTGATATGGATTATGGTGGTGATGCTATGGGGTATGGCAGTGATCAGGATGCTGCTATGAGGTATGGCAGTGATCAGGACACTGCTATGGGGTATGGCAGTGATCAGGACACTGCTATAGGGTATGGCAGTGATCAGGACACTGCTATGGGGTATGTCAGTGATCAGGATGCTGCTATGGGGGACACTATGACAGTGATCAGGACGCTGCTATGTGGTATGGCAGTGATCAGGACGCTGCTATGAGGTATGGCAGTGATCAGGACGCTGCTATGGGGTATGGCAGTGATAAAGATGTTGGTATGGGTATGACAGTTATCAGGACATTAGTATGGTGTATGGCGGTGATCAGGATGCTGCTATGGGGTATGGCACTGATCAGGATGCTGGTATGCATTATGATGGTGATCAGGATACTGATATGGCAAATGGCAGTGATCAGAATACTGGTATGGAGTTTGGCAGTGGTCAGGACGCTGGTATGGGTTATTGCAGTGATCAGGAATCTGGTGTTCAGGATGATGGTATGACATATGGCAGTGATCAGGTTGCTAGTATTTCATATGGCACTGATCAGAGTTCTGATATGGCAAATGGCAGTGATCAGGGCATTGTAATGGCAGTGATTAGGGCTCTCATATGGTGAATGGTGATGATCATGGTACTGGTATAGTGTATTGTGCTGATCAGGATACTGATATGGCAAATGGCAGTGATCACGGCCCTGGTATGGCATATGGCGAACGGCAGTGATCGTGGCACTGGTATGGCATATGGCGGAAATTAGGATGCTGGTAGGGGGTATGGCAGTGATCAGGATGATGGTATGACATATGGCAGTGATCAGGTTGCTGGTATGGCATATGGCACTGATCAGAGTTCTGATATGGTAAATGGCAGTGATCAGGCCACTGATATGGGATATGACCGTGATCAGGGCACTGATATAGCATATGGCAGTGATCAGGGCTCTCATATGGTGAATGGTGGTGATTATGGTGCTGGTATAGTGTATTGTGGTGATCAGGATACTGATATGGTGAATGGCAGTGATCATGGCACTGGTATGGCATATAGTGGTGATTTGGACTCTGGTATGGGGTATGGCAGTGATCAGGATGCTGGTATGGTAGTGATCAGGACGATGGTATGGTGTATGGCGTGAGCAGTGGTGACACTGGGACAGGTGACAGGGGCTTGCTGCACACTTTGTTGTTGCTACTCTAGGGGCAGTGACCAGGGACACTAGGACAGGCAGTCTGTGAATGTACATGCAGTTTGACAGGCTGCTGTACATTCACAGGCTGCAGCAATGCTTCTGTCTGCTCTCACAGCTGATCTGTGTGAGAGCAAAGAGAACAAATGTTTACTTTTGGTTTCCATTGGGTACTATGTGATTGGACACAACAAGGACATGTGATCACCCGGACACAGCGGTAATGGGATCTGCTGTGTCCGGGGGACACATGAATTATCTGGCTCCAGGGTGTATGCTCTGTGAGCTGCGCAGGAGCCACAAAGTTAAAATGTAAGTGAAAGGATGGCTGCCTATTGTGATATATTACTGGAGCGCAGAGAACCATCCAATGGATCCAATGTGGAAACCAAATATACACTATACTGCCCAAAGTATTGGGACACCCCTCCAAATCATTGGATTCATGTGTTCCAATCACCTCTGCGGCCACAAGTGTATAAAATCAAGCACATAGGCATGCAGACTGCTTCTACAAACATTTGTGAAAAAATGAGTCTCTCTTAGGAGCTCAGTGAATTCAAACAAGGTACCATGATAGGTTGCCACCTGTACAATACATCCATTCGTGAGATTTCCTTGCTACTAAATATTGCATGGTCAACTGTTAGTGGTATTATAACAAAGTGGAAGCAATGAGAAACAACAGCAACTCAGCCACGAAGTGATGAACCAGGTAAAATGACAGAGTGGGGTCAGAGCATGCTGAAGCACACAGTGCGCAGAAGTCCCCAACTGTCTGTAGAGTCAATAGTTAAAGACCTCCAAACTTCATGTGGTCTTCAGATCAGCACAACAGTGTGTAGAGTGCTTCATGGAATGGGTTTCCATGGCCGAGCAGCTGCATCCAAGCCTTACACCACCAAGTGCAATGGCAAGCATCAGATGCAGTGGTGTAAAGCACACCTCCACTGGACTCTAGAGCAGTGGAGACGTGTTCTCTGGAGTGATGAATCACGCTTCTCTGTCTGGCAATCCAATGGACGTGTCTGGGTTTGGTGGCTGCCAGGAGAATGGTACTTTCCTGACTGCATTGTGCCAAATGTAAAGTCTAGTGGATTAGGAAATTATGGTGTGGGGTGGTTTTTCAGGGGTTTTTCCCTTAGTTCCAGTGAAGGGAACACTTAAGGCATCAGCATACCAAGACTTTTTGGACAATTTCATGCTCTCAACTTTGTGGGAACGGTTTGAGGATGGTATTCCTGTTCCAACATGACTGCGCACCAGTGCACAAAGCAAGATCCATAAAGACATGGATGAACGAGTTTGAGGTTGAGGAACGTGACTGGCCTGCACCTCAACCCAACAGAACACCTTTGGGATGAATTAGAGCAGAGACTGAGAGCCAGGCCTTCTCATTCAACATAAGGGCCTGACTTTACAAATGTGCTTCTGAAAGAATGGTCAAACATTCCCATACACACACTCCTAAACCTTGCGGACAGCCTTGCCAGAAGAGTTGAAGTTGTTAAAGCTGCAAAGGGAGGGTCAACTTAATATTATTATTATTATACAGGATTTATATAGCGCCAACAGTTTGCTCAGCGCTTTAAATATTGAACCCAATGGACTAAGACTGGGATGCCATTAAATTTCATATGCGTGTAAAGGCAGTCGTCTCAATACTTTTGGCAATATAGTGTATTTGCAAAATGTTTTGTTATCTCCAGGCATACCTGTCTTCAATGTATTTGTTGCTGTGTATGTCTGAAGATGGGTGCTCTGTTAAATTAGAGTTAGGGATCACACTTTATGGAGGGGCTTTGACAAGGCTATGGAGCTTCCACATATATTTGCAGATGTATGCAACAAAAACCTCTAATGCTTATTTCTTTTATTTCAGGTTTGCAGAGCACCATAATTGGTTGTGCATCTCTATATACTGATTTATGACTGACAATGTGAGACAAGATATTAAAATGTTACTTTGGCTGTGACTGTCACCATCACCCACACATATCTATGCTACCTACATTTGGGACCACACTTCAAAGATTATCCTTGAGGAGGCAGTATGGCTTATACATACTGTATATCTGTAAATGTATGCAACTCAAACCTCTGTTTTTACACAAAGCGTTGAAGACAAGCTAGCTATTTCTTTGATTTTACCATTAGAAATCAGACAGGGGTCTGAATGCCCCTTTACATTATCTAACATTATAAAAATAATTTTTTTCAGCATATCATACTGTGCACTTTAACATAAGGCATGATTAAATAAAAATAAGTAGTAGGAGAGCTGTCCGTATAGTCACTACACTATTAAGGATCTTGCTAAGTTGAGAAGGAAGAACAGCAATGCAGGGAATCAACTTGAAAGCTGAACTTTTGTTCAACACAGTTTCACCTCACTCACTAAGATACAGTATGTGCAAATTCACATGCTCTACTCATAAAGTGGAAAGAGATGAATCTTAAAAAACAAAATTCAAAACAGAATAATCATCTTGTGATGCAGCAATCATGCTTCTATCCTTGTATAAATTAAATTTTCAAGATTACAAAACGTAAATAAAAAAAAAAAGAAACTACAAGGAAAGGAATAAAAAAGTGATGGATTGTAAAATGTTCAGTGTTAAATGTTTTCAAAATACAAAATTGTGAAAGTTACTTAAAAACTTATAAAATATATAAAAAATTACAAGAAACCAAAAAGGTTACAGAAAATTGAGGGCAGCAGGCTGGCACTAAGGAGGAGCAATTCCCAGCCTTTGTTCAAAGGAAGAAATCTGTGTTGCTGCCTTAAGAATATTTTGGCCAACTCCTTTTACCAGGTGTGGCAGAACTGTTTTGAAAATAAAAAATTAAAAGAACATTAAAAGCATGTTAAGAATCAGACAACCAATAAAATAATATAATTCCCACTTTCAACATAACCAGTTCTGGAATTGGTTTTGGTTTAACAAGGGAGTGTAGGCTGTAAATGTAGCCACCTAAATTGGCACAAAGCTTAACATCATTCAGAAAGATAGATACTAATATACAGAAAAAATGAAAAAGGAAACTTGCAATGTTGGGTGTCATCCTCCACCTCCAACTCAATATTTGGCCTCATGGGGGGGACCTGGAGTTGGTACATATTGTGTTTTACTTCTCAATGAAATTAAGTGTAGGGTTCTTGTGGGCACACAAATGACTAGAATACACAAGCATTGGTATGGAGTAGAGGAAGCTATTTCCACCCTTAATACTGTCAGACATTAAAAATGAACAGTATTGTACTGGCCTAACTCAAATTGAATGAATACTAGATGGAAAAGAACAAAGAAGACCAATAGGCTAGAGTAGAGCACAGACATGTGAGCTGTCAGTCAGTACACCAGCACCTCTACATTTCTATCATTCTCTATGCTTCATTAAGCAGATAGAGCTCTGATGTCCAAACTGGCTTCACAGCAATGTCTTCTTGACCTGATGTTAAATTTACTGAGTGATAATTCACTTAGGTACGTAAATGAGGTAAAGCTAAGAGAAGACACAAGAACAAAAATCAAATAAATCATATAAACCTTAATCCCTAAGGTTAGTGACAAAACACTTATGGGTCTCCTAAACAAGTAGTGAGTGGACTGCGGTGCCTGTGCAAAATGCAGCTTGCAGAGCCACATCAGTGTGAACCTAACCTTAGGGATACCAATGTATGCCTATACTCATTCCTCCGTGAGTGGGTGGATTTCTGGGGACACTGTTATTGTAAAGGGGGCTTCCAGATTATTTTATAAATTCCCCCCACAAACCCCACACCCTTTTTGGAGGACCTGAGGTGGGTAAGAGGCCCTTGTCTCTCAATATCTTGACAAAGTACCTTGCAAGTGGCACCCAGTTTGCATGCCTGGATAATGACCTGGTAACCATGTGCCATTTGTTCCAAAATGCTTCTGTTTAATACATGACCCCATGACCAAAAGAAATTGAACTCCATGTGGGAAAAGTAGGCTGAGGTGACCATACTGCTGATGACAAAATGTAAAAAAAAAATTACAAGAAAAGAGCAAAAAGTAAAAAAAAAAGTAAAATGACAATCTAAAGCACAGCAGTTTGTTTTAAAAATGTGGTTTAGGGATATTCATAATGACATAGCACTCTAGAAATGAAAATTGGTTCTGAACATAAACCAATCCACAGGATGACAACCTGGGATTGTAAACAGGCTAACTCAATTGCTGGACTCTCTTGCATAACCCTGTTATGTATAAAGGTTTAAATGAGAGGAAAGCAATACCCGATCTCCTTTATATATAAATAGACAATAAATAAATAATCATATAAATAAACTATAACACTGTAAAACACCAACCAATTATCAACCACAAAGAAAAAGTATTTTTGTCAAAAGAGATTCCTGGAAAACTGTTGGGAGCAGGGTTGTGTTAATAGCCTTTCCAATGTATCAAAGGGTAACTCCGCTTTCATGCATAAAAGCAGCAAATAAAAAAATAATATATAATGTACAAAGTCTTCACAAGACATGTATTGTAATTTCATGTTAATAAAAATTACCTTTCTATTTCAATCTGCAATGCTGTAATTCTCTGTAAAATTCAATACAATATGGAGACCTGGAGGCATGTTGTCCCCCCGTGGTGTACAGAACGCCTCCAAAAATGTAATTTCAATGCAGTATTGCAACCTGGAGGCATTCTGTATTCTGTATCAGCTTACTGATTTTCCAGAAATCAGAATATACAAGTCAGATTTTAGACATCTTCTATAACAGAAATCTCATTTTGATGAGATACTCCCCAAAGGTTAATCACCCTGCAATCACACTGTAACTTCACCCATTAGGACACAAATGGGGGAATTTATAAAATTCTGTCAGGCCACACCACTGAAAGTGATGGTGTTTTGCGTCAAAATCATGCACCTGTCACAGACAGAGTGGACACTTCTTCCTCAATGCACTCACTCCCCCCCCCCCCCCCCCCAGGCCACTGCTCCTGTCACGCTGACAAGCACATGACCAAATAGTTTGGTACTGGGGTGGTGGAGCCTGATGGGGAGCTGACAGCCTAGCCCCCCATCAGATCCACTTTACTTTTGATTGGCAGAGCATGGCAGTGGGTGGATCCATAATAAATTTTAGTCCAAGAGCAGCTTTCAAATCTTTTCCACTGCCTTGTACTGTCAATCTGATCAAAAACAGACTTGATGGGGAACAAGTCTCATCTCATCCTACCACTTTACCCATCAGGCTCCGTCCAACCATTGACAACTCATTGCATTGCCCATGTTTGGGTAATGATATCACCTGTATTCCAATTTATATTTAGCTTTTGGTCAGGTATTCTCCCAGCCAACAGCTAAGTGGGGCAGGAAGTATAAACGTTATGTGGTATGCTGTCACAATCATGACAGCTCCCCAGCATAGGCACTGCCTGCTGTGAGTACAGGCATACCTCTGTACAGCAGCTCAGAGTTGGTTTTAATTACCGGTACTGCCAGTTTTCTAATCTGAAGACTGGCAGGAATTATTTAAGAACTTGTCACTGCCATGGTGACAGGTTTTTAAAGTAGCAGGAGTAAGAACTGCCTGAAGTTACCACACATACCAGTAATGTTACCAATACTGGTGCAAATACTTGCCTGAATTAGTTGCAGGTAGTTCTTATGGGGACTACTGGCAGAAAATTAACTCACTCCCATTTGAAATCCATATCTAAAGGATACAGTGAAACAAACAGGTTAATAAAACAGAAACATATAGGAATCTGCAACAAAGTTTGTTAAAATCCTTGCAATGCAAATTGATCTCCCAAAAAGGATTTTTTTTCCCAGCAAAAGTGGAGTTCCTTGGTGATGAATAAATACCAAAAAAACTACACAAATATACACACTCAAATTCCCTTCTGTACTTCAAGGCAATTAAAACTCAAAGCATTTAAATTGGCGTGTTATTTGTGTAAATTTTGAAAGAA